AGCTTCCCCAAGATGTGTTCTATTTATGTTTAAGATATGTACGCTTACAAGAATGGAAATTAAATTGTGTAAAAGAGCGGTACTGTCACTGATTAAAGCGCAGGCAGAATGTGCAGATTTGGATATATCCTTGCCAACCCTCAGCAAGTTGGAAGAACTGTAAAGTCTCTTAAATTCAGTATCTGATTAAGGTCTGGGATAGTCCAAAATGATGCCGTGATATCTACCGGGCGAGACGAATTGATGGGAATGTTTGGCAACACCGACGCTAGCAGACAGCCCAGGGTTTGGTCTGTTCTCTGTCTCTCGGTCCTGTATGGCCTGGCCACAGCTGCAATATTAAATCCTTTTAGCTTCCACAACTGGGGTGCTGCTACCTGTTAGGAATGGGTTCAGGACTGTGCTCATTCCCAAGCCGTGGCTGGGACCTGCTGGCAGCACACTGGCCAACCCCCAAAGCAGCCCCGTTTTATTTCTTGGTATGGAGATTCCTTTACAGTTTGTTCAGCTCAGAGCACTGGGTCTGTGGACTTTTTCAGGCTGAGCCCAGGGTGTCCCTCATTTATCTCATTTCTTATTATATACTTCACATCTCTATTCAATGGCACAATAAGTACAAAGATAGGAGAGTTCACCATGCTCTCTGCAGGGACTCCAGTGTTTGCGGAGGGCATGGGGACACCAAGCCAGCATCCCTGGCTTGTGCCATTTGCAGCAACGTGTCCCACATACACAAATATCCATGAAGAGGACCAGCCTGTGGCTGGAAAAGGTAGGTCTGGTGATTTGTACTGCTATTTAGCATCACCTCTACTTTTCTTTCTTTTGCCAGACAGGCGTTTGCCAAGTACTGTAGCATAGAATAGGCTCTTTCACAGCCAGTATTAATGTTACTGGGCAAGTCTTCCAGCAGCTTTCGCATTTGACCCTTCAACTGTCCTTCAAAGGTGAAGCACAAAGCAAAGCATTTAGGTAGAAGCACAAGCAGATCCAGGAACTGTGTAGAAGTCTCCCTGTCTTCCTTCTCAAGAATATTTTCAACACAAAGATTTAAGCTCAAGCCCTAAGAGTGATAGAGTGGAGAGAGGTACGGGTGAGACCTGGCTGGCTTAAACCAGGTCTGAAGTGTAATAAGGCTGTGATATGAGTATGCTTATTGAACCATTTAATCATCTCTTTGGGATCTGCCCCACCAAATACAGACTATCTGATTAGACGTGCCTGTACCTGAACTGTTCAAGTATATGTGTTGTAGAACCCATGGACAGAAGCAGGCTCATCCAAAGCACTGCCACGGACCACAGCACATCCACATGCTGGTCGAGTTAACTGAGTCCTCCAAATGCTGTTTTGTCCCCACTGACTTGAAAGTCAGTCCAGGTGACTCTCTCAGATACAAATGACTACCCTGTGGACACCTAAATCCAGAGGAAAACCAGGCCTCCTGCTACTGTGGAACAACCTTTTTTGACTCCAAGAACAACCCAGCCCATACTCCTTGCTCTGAACCTTGTATGTGCCAAGGACTTGTTGGATCAGACCTGAAGCTTTATGTAAAATGACTCTGATGTGTATTTATATGAATCATATATATTAATTACATAATAGACACTTACGTTCCCCATCCCACATGCAGTTTGGTTACAAAGACTGAGTGCCTTCACTATGAATCATGCAATCAGACCATATCCCTCAGGCAAAACTCTCTCTAGAATGGCCATGTTCATATATTCCCATGGTTTCCACTACAATATTACTTAATTAAGAATATTAATCTGCTGGGCCACCAACTTTCACTGCCTTTCAGGGAAGTCGAAGCAGACAGGTAGTTTAATAAAATATAGGGAAACATGCTCTTGTTATGATTGTGTCGTTGCAATGAGGTAAGTCAATTGTATGGCCTCATGAGCTTATTTTTTTATTTATTCTTGATATGAACATGAGACATATGCACCAGAGATCATTAGCCTGCAAGCTGCACGTTTTTCCCAGCCAGTCTTTGGGTGGGCTCTTTTTTGCTTTTCAGCTATTGCTGTTGCATATTACCCAAATATGAGCAAAATATCACTGATTAATTGTTGGACGCTGCAGATGAAGTACCGGTCCCCATTTGGAGAATAAAAGATGAATATTTGAAGTCTGACACCTACATTGTCATGGGTGCTCATCTGCACGTGTCTGCAGCATGCAGGCAGACATTTCAGCTGTGCAAAGCAATCAGGTATGCGTCTAGACACTGGCACGACCAGTTCAGCCACATTACAGCAGCCTGTCTGAGTAACTCAAGGAATCAGCTTGCTGCCCTTTTCCCCTCTTCCATGAGATGGAAAAATGCTCGTGCTGCTCTGACAATCCCTCACCCACACCCTATCCTACAGCTCCCTAGCTCTTCTGATGCTCAGCCTGAACTCTGGTCCAAACACTGGCGTCCTCAGCACCAAGAGCTGTACCCCTCCATGATGGGGAGGAGTGTGAGCATTCTGGTCAGGAACTGGATGCATTTCCAGCCTTAGGAGTATCATCAAAAACAGCTCCTGTGGGTTGCCACTGACCGTGCCGTCACTGCATTGAACGACACCTTTGCTGTTTGAATGGTAAGTTTTCAACATCTGAGTGAGAGCAGCCCAAGTGGAGGTCTAGTCAAAGCCACAGAGGTTTGTAGAAAGGCTGAGTGATGTGAAGCTGTGGCAGGTAGTCAGCCCTGTGCCTATAAGGTGTGACATTCGAGGCCTGAGGGGGAAGTTTCACCCATTTTTCCTCCTGCATGATGTTAAGAACCAGGCAGTAAATATGGCATTCATTAAAATTACCTTGTATATTTTTAACAGCCCTGATAATCAGGTTTCTGCCACCATATTGGGAAGCAGAGTTTGTTTTTATTTAAGGCCTTGTAAAATGCTAATTTCTCCCTTATGCTCTGGAGATGCCTGACATTTTCTAATATTTTTAAGAGTTTCTTAGTCGTCATTTTTCCTCTTCAAAGCTCAGCTCTTTCTGAAAGATGTGTCAAGAACTGAGCAGCGGTTTGTTTCTCTCAGAGTGCAAAAGAGAAATCCGCTGCTGTAGTAGAAGGCTTTAAATCTGCATTTTCTCTCTGCTTTAAACACAAAAGGGGCCAGATTCTGCCTTCCTGTGTGAGGCAAAAACTCTGGAGGGCTGCAGCATTCCCAGTAGGGGCTGCAACATATTTCCTTAGTGCTTGGGAGTCAGCTCTCCTCCACCCAGCAATGTCGCTCTGTGATTCTGAACATCAGCAAACACTGCAGACAACCTCTCGCACTTATGTGGAAGATGAACGCCCCCCTTTCTCAATTCTAAATCTACCCAGCAGTAAGATCCCTGTGCTGGGACAGGGTGGGAGCACTGCACAGATGCTGGTTGAGCTCTCAGAAGGCAAAGAGCAAGAAGAAGAGCGATGGCAACCAACTACAGAGCGCAAGGGAAAAGTTCAGCACACGGCCACATAATGTACACAGCCAGGCCTTCAGTCATCCTGCTTGCGCCCACATGCCAGGCGCTCACGTCTGAATGCACCCAGACAAGCAAGGGCTGCAGGGCAAGTGCGCGGTACAGCCGCTGTGCTCCCAGCCGAGCCTCTCCCGGAGGTGTTGCTGAGGGCACAATTGCAAAAATAACCAATTCAACAACACAGACCATCAGGCGACTCCAAAGGGAACCTGTTTCGGGCCAAACAAAGCATTTCCTCAGCATCAAGCCAATCTAGTTTTTTACACCAAGTCAGCGCATTGCGCAGGGAGCCCACGGGAACCTGCTCCACTACCTTGCACCCCTCGGCCCACACGGAGGCGGTTGGCATCTCTGAAGATGCAGAGCACGCTAGGGACCGCAGAGAGCTTTGCAGCTGTTTGTTTGAGAAACAAAGCTTCCCTCTTTTGAGATGAAAGAAATCAAGGAGTCAAAGCTAATCAAATCCTACACGCCTGCTGGCTGGAGTTCAGCTTGTCAGGGATGCAGTGCAGTGCAGTGCTCAGCATTACCAGTGCTACGAGCGTGGTGGATGGGGAAACACGACAGCAAGAAATTCACCTGGCTGCAAGTCAAACAGGTGTATGGCAGCAGCATCCAAGACTGTAATAGTATCTTGCAAACATGCAAAAAAGTAGTAAAGTCATAAGGCTGATTCTTTAGTTTTCATTAATGAATCATAAGGACTTCACGTTACACGTGCTTTTTGGCATATGCTGCTCGTATTTCCACACTTGCAAGGTTGGAGCTTTTACGCTGAGCCACCCTCGCCTAAGGTTCCTCATTCTTGGCAAGATACACATGGTGACTGTGTGCCATTACAGGCTCTATCTTACTTTGGGGCAATCAGATTACTTCACACAGATGGTTTTATCGCTGAGACCATACAGGTGAATTGCACAGTATGTAAATGTACATTTGTTTGATAAAAAAAAGTCTCAGTTCCTAGCTGCTGTCTTGTCTGTGTTCCTAAACAAGTTTCTTCTCTCCTGCATCTTTCCAAAGCACAATTTGTCCAATCTTTACCCTAAACTGACTCAGCTAGTTTCTGATAAGCATCTGAAGTACTCATTAACTAAGGAAACAGGCTTTCTTGAGCTTCTGGATTAAAATGAGGGAGCATGAACCTTCACCTTCACTACTGAAGAAATAAAAAGCATCTATTTGACATCACACACAATGCAAAATGAAAAGACCAAAATATAAAGAATATCACAATGATGTTAAAACATGTAAGCAAACATCCTCCTGGGGGGGCAGGGAGCAGAAGAATTTGATCACAGAACCGAGTTCACAGTAAAAAAAATATTCTGATCTGAAATGGACCTAGTGACATTCAAACCGTTCGTGCCCTGCCCACAGCAGCTCTTTCTGACCCCCACCCACCATGCAGCAACCCTGTTATCACCGACCAAGCTTTGCTCTTCTTAGTAGGGTTTGTCTGCAGCCATTCAGGTAGCCTGAATGTACTGTACCTGTCAGCGTAATTGTTTTAGGAGAAACATGGACACTACCTGAGAGGCGTCGGGGCACGTCGGTGATGGCTGGAAGTCCTGTGCCTCGGGTGGAGGACAGGGGAGTTGTGGAGTGAATGGACGGTGAAGTCATCTGGCTCAAGTAGGACGGGTACGACTGATCATAGGACCACGGCGGGGATGACTGCGCCTGCCTGGGGTCTGGAAAAAAGAAAAAGAAATCAAAAGGTAAGGAAGAGAAATTGTAAGGCACCGACAGTCTAACTGAAAGAGATGGGGCTACTGAACATACACACATCAATGTCACAAGGAAGCGAAGCACAACTTGTTCCTCCAGACTCAATGTCTTTTAGGCTTGCTCTGTGAGTTTCCCTCCTGATAACACTCACAGACCCATAGAATGGCCTGGGTTGAAAAGGCCCACAGTGCTCCTCCAGTTCCAACCCCCTGCTGTGTGCAGGTCGCCAACCAGCAGCCCAGGCTGCCCAGAGCCACATCCAGCCTGGCCTTGAATGCCTGCAGGGATGGGGCATCCACAGCCTCCTTGGGCAACCTGTTCCAGTGCCTCACCACCCTCTGGCTGAAAAACTTCCTCCTAAATATCTCGGGGAAATGAATGGGGCAGTGAGCAGAGCTGAAGATTTAGCAGCTGTTCTGTAAACTCGTGATGTTTCTCACCCAGCTCTGACAGTGTTACATTGGGACTCACCAGTCCTTGAGGATGTGGACAAATAAGATGACAGTAAATAAGAGACATGGGGGCATGTTGCAGCTGAGCTTGAGAAGTGCATTTAGAAGGCAAGGAGACTCTAAAGTCAGCACTTGGCATGCCTGTCAAGTTGTTATCCAGTTCAAACATGACAAAAAAGTGGTTTTAGTGCTGAAACTGCTCTCCAAGAAGGAAAATGTCATTAATCTTATTAGCATCTGTCTAAAAATGTCACATTTGGAGGCTGGCCCAGTTACCTACCGTCACCTCAATTAGAACAACATGAAGCCAGATGGATTGGTATAACTACAGAAGCTAATGATGCATTCACATGTACTCGTTAGAGCTCACAATGAAGGAAATTATTTTAAGGATAAATACTGTTTACTTTTTGCTGAAGGTCTGGTGGACTGCACTGAGTGAGAAGGAGGAAGGGCTACTTTTACTCAGCTGTGCTGCGATTCAGAAACCGTTTGTTTTCACTTAGTATGTGGTGACAAAGATACCACCAAAATCTTCAACAGTCAATTATTATTTTTGTTTCTTTATGCTGATAAAAACCAAGCACTTTCAACTCCCAAAGTTCTTCTAGGCACTGCCAGATAAACAGATAATTGTCTCCAAACTGGTCCACAGAACCAGTTTGGAGAAATCCAAATTTTCCCCAGTACATTCAGTAAAACACACCAGGTCCACTCAGTTTGGAGAACCTGCTACATCAGAGCACTGTCCTACAGCACTGCTTTGCAGACAGAAACGTGATAGCCACATGGCATAAGCAAAGGCACTTTTTCAGGAAATTCAACCTTTTTTTCTCTTTTTTAACTCCTTTCCCTACTCTTCCACACAGCAAAAGCTTGTAGTTTTAGCTATGCCTTATTTATTTTTTCTTTCAGACATGATTTGTTTGAAGAGATGTCTGGAAAGCAGATACTTCCTTGAAGCAAAATAACTATATAGATTAAAAAAAAAAAAAAAGTTCCAATTTAATTTTAAGAGGATTTTCCCCGAGTTTGCCATTTATATTAGAGCTGAGTAATATAAATGGTTAATATAAACTCCTCAGAAATCTGAAGGACACTTGATCATTAAATGTAATGAACTTCTTTGTTTTAACAATTTCAGGGCTAGAGTTGTATAGATTGGCGCTGGTTCAAATTTGACTGACTGCTCGTTGTTATATCTGATATCGACATATTTCTCTGCCTCATTCCACTACTATAATTCACCATTCAGTCAATGGTAAATGATCTTCAACTGGGAGCGGAAAGCCTGTGCTTGCTGGGAAAACAATCTTAAAATTAATGATGTGTCAGGAGCACAATCTCAAACCTCCACTCCTTCAAACTCCAAGAGCTTTTCAATCCGTGTTTCTGAATCCAAAACAGGGTCCCTTAAAGCTTTGATTTCAAGTCAGGCCCAGTACTGGAAGGAAACTATAGAGCAGGTAAAGATTGAGAAAAATCACAGCAGAGGATGTTTTGGCAGGAATTTGGTTTAAGATGGTGAAAACCTCAGGAAAGGAGCTGCCATGTGGAGGCTTATGCTACTTCTTTGGTGTAGCCATCATGGCATAAAGATTCTGATCAACTCTGGAACCCTCCCACTCTGAACACCCACAGTGCAAACACCTGTGTGAACACAAGAAGGATCAGAGACATGCTCAAGGACATGATTTAGCAGAGGGTTGTTAGGGTAGTATGGTTAGGTGGACTCGATGATCTTAAGGTCTTTTCCAACCTGAGTGATTCTATGATTCTATGATTTTAACAGCAAAAAATGAATGGGCTCACACAATCTTTAAAACAGTATTTCATGTGGCAATGTCAAGAGGTAGAATATGTGGCTGGATGGACCATCTGTTGATATCATAGCATTTCAGACACTCTCAAGACATTTAGCTTAATTTTTACACTCCCCCTATAGCTCCTCCCATCTACAGCACCACATCACCAGATTTATGTTCTAATTTATACTTGATTTCAACTCTTCATGAGCTCCAAACTGCGAGATGTTAAACTGCAAAGTGTTTTAGAGAAAGAGGACAGGCTGTTAGTGAAAACACTGTGCTGTGACATAACTGCTGCTGGCCCTTACACAGATCTTCTGTTGAACTTTCTACCTAAATTTAAGTAAAAGAATGATAATTTGTTCCCTGAGTATTTCATTCACAAAATGGGGTGCTTCTCTTGGCTAGAAGCTTTCAACCCAGATGTGAAAGTGTGAACTTGGGCCTCTCTCAAGCTACACTTTAGGAAACTCAGCTCCAGGGAAATTACATCGTGTTTTCTCACAGAATAGGAAATAATTTGGAGGAAAATCCTCAACCAAATTGTACAGAAGATGTATCAGAGCTCACTGACTGAAGAAAGGCCGCAGCAGACCAGGCTGGAAGTCAGTGTGATTTCTCCACACTGAGGCAGGGCCAAGGTCATGGCTGAGGCCAGGTGGGGAATTTGCCCTGGGGCTTCAAGCATTATCTTTGGCCTGTTGGGAAAGCGGAAACCGAAGATACTAGTTTTACCAGATCCTGGAGTAAATGCCCTAGAACCAGCCTCTGTCCGGACATGTGAGGAGCAGAATTCAAACGAGGTCTGCTCGCCCAAAGGGTCATGGTCATTGCTCAGTGCTATTGCCAAGTGCCTGCAGTAAAATGCAGCAGAGCCAACAGCCACCCCATGTAACCAACCCCCCCCCCCCCCCCCACGTAGCCAAAAACCACCCCATGTAGCCCTCAGAGCAGACAGGGAGCTGTGGGCACACACAGCACCACTTGGTCTGTTGCGAGGACGTGCCCTGCAATGCTGCTGTGCAGAGGCCTTGGCCGCAGAGGCCCCATCTCTCTTCTGGCTCCCCGTACTACAGAATCAAGCCTTGCGGAGGCAGGACATTGCCAGGTTTATTGCTTAGGGGTGCCTGCTTCCAGAACTTCCCCTTATGAGGCAAATCCAAGTGGATGCCAGAAGGGAATGCAGCAGAGTGCTCAGCAGGGTCACCTCCTCCATGCTGAAGGGATGGCATGGCCACTGAGCACACCAGTGGGGCAGACAGTGCAAGCAGATTTGCAAGAAGTTTTCCATGCCTCCCTACAGATGAGACCATCTCTTCTGTTTGCAGAGAGTGGAGGGCCATGCATGCTTGCCAGGCTGGCAGGCACCCGCTGTGAGTGAGAGCCAGAGGCTCTGGGCTGTCACATGAAGCGTATCTTTCTAATTGCTGAAAGCCCCGAATATATGAGAAACCCCAGAGCTCTGAGGCAGAGCTAACATGAATTCCTGCCTGAAGGAATCCCTAGAAAACAAGGGAATATGTGAATACAGAAGTACACTGAACGGCTCGGGAGAAAGCCCACCCAACTCCCAGCACCAGAGGCCTGCAGCCGGGCTAGCACAGCCTTAAACAGCAGTAACAGAGACAGAGGGCCGCTCAGAATTTGACTTTGCACTTGAAAATTCTGGAGTGATTCCTAAGAACAGTCCTCCTTTTGTAAACATTTTTGTTAAGTCTGTGTGGGTGTGAAGAAAAGTGCGGCTTTCACAATACTCATTAAGGACGAGGCTTTTTCATGCATATGCAAAGTCACGCTGGGTGCTGATGAGCGGAAATGAGTCGGTGGGTGAACTCACCCAGCTCCTTCCTGATGGCACTGCCAGGTGTGCCTCAGCGAGGCAAGAAAATGTGGTCTTGCAAATGCTTTTGTCTCTCAGTTTCATTGCCACACCGATAGTCAGTGGAAGACTTGATCAGCTCCTGACCCACGTAGTCAAGCTGACTGCATCAGCTTAGTGGAAAACAAGAGCTTTGAAAAATCCGCCTAACCACAGAATCACAGAATGGCCTGGGTTGGAAGGGACCTCAAGGATCATGGAGCTCCAACACCCCTGTGCCATGCAGGGCCACCAACCTCCACATTTAATACTGGACCAGGCCTAAATTTGGATGCATAAAACTAAGCCCGGAAATAGAGCAACTCCTCATGGCCTACTGATCATCCAGCAATGTCAGTTCTCTTCTTTCAGTGGAAAAGTGTCAAAAGAGAGAAGAGAAAGCTGGAAAGTTGTCCTGCAGAAGTAGCTATCTGTTCCTTCGGCACTGGATTATATCATATCATATCATAGAATCATAGAATCGTAGAATGGCCTGGGTTGAAAAGGACCACAGTGATCACCTAGTTTCAACCCCCCTGCTATGTGCAGGGTTGCCAACCACCAGACCAGGCTGCCCAGAGCATACATTATGAAGCATACAGATTTACTACAGACAAAGATCAAATTTCCATTTCCCAAGCTGAGCTTTGGTACTCAGAACATGGCCATCAGAACAGCCTCTCAGCATACAGCCTGTAAAACCTAACTGTCACATGTGTGCACACACTTTCCAAAAACACTTATTTAAATCCAGTCGTCGGTTCCAGTGCTGGCTGCTGCCCATTCCATTAGTGCTACTGCTGATACTAAAAAACAAGCTGTCTGGAGCTATCTGTGGTAAACACCCAAAGCAAATATCTTTGGTTATGATCTTAACAAAGCCAAGATGACTTTCTGCATGAGTAAACACGCTATTGTTGTAAACCCAACCCCAGCAAAACAACAACAACAAAATGCAACCTCCTCCTATCCTCTATTTCTTGGGAACATTTGAAAGCCCAGGGCTTGATCTGGATTGCCCTGTTCAATCAATGAACGCAGTGGAGTTACACCCCCATGGACTGTAATTGAGACCAGATTTTGGCCTTAAGAACCCCTAAAACCATTTTTCCTCTCAGTCCCTAAGTGTCACAATTCTAAAGGAAAAAAAAAAAAGAACTAAGCTGAACAAGTCTTGCCAGTAGGACAACTAAATAGCAAAGGAAAAAAAGAAAAGTTAAAAGAATACTTTAATAGGAGGGATACAGACTTCACCCAATGGAGGTTCATAGTGGCAGCTCGCCAGTTGCCCCAAGGATGCAATCAATTTGCATAAAGCACAGCAGACTGCAGCCACCCTGGGGTTTGTAACAAGGAATCCCAGCTCCTCCATCTCATATGCTGACTTGTAGCTTTTATCCCATGAACTGAAGGCACAGTGAAGGCACAATGCACCCTGTATACCTATAGCATGGGCTATTTCTAATTGGTGTTCTCCAAGCAATCACATACTGTGCCTGCTGCATTCAGCAGGCTGATGTGCATGGCTGCAGCATGCTGCTGTCCCAGGTCTAACACAAGGAAACCAGCGGAGTGCTCACATACTGCCCAGCTACAGCAGCTACCCAGTTTGTTCCATGGCTGGTGGTCTTAGATACAGACACTGGGCTGCTGCTTTCCATCTTTGAGGCAGGTGCTAAGGCCCACATTCACACCCCACAACCACGCTGTATGAGAGCAGAATTGTGCCATCTCCCTCTGCAAGAGAGCAGTGCCCAGCCCCACCGGCCCAGAATGGGGGGAATGGAGGACAGGTACCATGCGAGGAGCTGAAGATGCTTTCTGCCCACAGCCTTCCCACCAGCCTCAGTTCTTAATGCTCTACCTGATAGTGGCGATGGATCCTCCCACTAACTAAGGAATTTTAAATCCGCCTTCTACAACTTTAAAAACAGTAAGAAAAAACTAGGGCTGGAAATGCAGCATCACTGAAGCATGGGGGAAAGAGGGAAAGCAGAAAAAGAAAAAAAAAAAAAAGGAAAAAATCACAGGACCTGCTTTTTGAGCACTGCTCTTTCAGTGCTGCAAGTCACAGGTTGCCCATCAATCAGATGGAGCCACCGAGGTGATGGAGCAGGAAACCTCATGGAAGCCCCACTCACAGCCCTGCTCGGATCTGCTCTGACAGAAGCTCATCCACACTGATTACAATTTAGAAAAACAAGTTTTGCTCATTTCATACCGAAGCAGTGCTGCAACGAGCCAAGCTCTGAGCAGGACTGTAACTCGACCTGCCTGCAAGTTGTTCCAGTGCCATTAAGGGAGAGGGGAAAGCAAAAAAAAAAAGCAAATATACCAATATCCAAATGTGAGCAGACAGCATCCCTGATTTACGGGCAGCAAGCGGGGTTCAAATTGAATCTGCACTGCCTCAGCAAAGGCATCTGCTTATTGGGTGATTTGTTTTTTAATGACCCTTCACTGTTGCTTTTGCAGGCTCCTAGTTAAAATGCCATGTTGAATAAGGGCAACTCTGTGCCTTGTGCTGCTGCAGCCCAGTGTTGTGGTGGGTTTGGGACTGCGCTGCGATTTGTAGAAGCTGTACTCTGATACTCAAGGCAAATAAACACGACCCAGACAGAGAGAAGAAATATAAGAGTGAACCCCAAAGTGTTTCTCCGTGCTCAGGTGTGGGCCAGTCAGGCTTTAAATATTATTCGTGTTTAATCATGCAGTAGCTATGCAAGACCTCAAGTGGAACTACACGAAACCAGTTTATGTGCTTACTAGGCATAATACGGATTTTGTCATAGGAATGCAGTATTTACTGTTAAATTTATAAGGAATTAATTATTTCCCCTAAATTACTAGGTAAGAGATTAAGAAACAAAGTATATCTAAAAGGAATGCTTGCTTAATTCCAAGAAAGGTAATAAAAACATCCTTGGGTTCAGACGAGCATCTGTACTCCTTTCAACACATCCCCAGACCCTACTGGCCCAGCGACCACATTAAGAATCCAGTGGGGAGCTGGGGGAGGAGGGCAGCACCAGCAGCCCTATCACCGCACCCAGCAGCCATACATTTTCCAGTTTCCCATGGGGAGCCAGCACCTGATCAAAGAGGTGTCTGCTCTGAGGCATTCCCTTTGTCTCTCATTGGCGCAGCTTGTGTGGCAAGGAGCATCCAATTCCCTGCAGAAGAACCGTGAGGGACCGTCCGCAGAAGCATCCCAGCGCTTTGGTGGAACATCAAAGCACACAGAGCTTTGCAGATTGCAATCAACATCCTGAAGAGCACAAAAAAAGCCTTGTGGGGAAGCCAGTGCAATTCACAGGGCTCGCACCGATGCACCACGCTCACATGAATTGCTTTATTAAATGGAAAGCTAACGAGTAGCCTTTGTGAGCTGGGTACTTGGCTGCTGGAAATCGAGGAGGAGATGAGTGGGGAACAACATGGCACTGTATTGGAACACTGTACAGCCCCGTATTCACTAAAAATTTGAATACGCAGCAGAGTCCTCATTGCTTTAGGGAAAATGAGAGCCCTTTGGGATCCCATGTATCCCATGACTCTAGGTTTATGTCAAGAAAAGCTTATAATCCATAAGAGATGGGAAAGTCAGCCTGCCTTCCTGGGTTCAGCTTGTTTCCTCTACCCCACCAGCAGCATTTCCCACTCTGAATGAAGCCTCAGCTGGAGCGGGCTTTGAACTGTTCAAGCTGCAGAGCAGATAGGGAACAGCATACAGTTCTGTCTGCAACCAGGCTTATTTAAACCTCATCTGAAGTTGTCACCTCCAGGAGCTGTAAATGCTGCCGCTGATTCATAACGAGGCAGAGAAGTACTCTATTAATCAAAGCCAGCAGAACGTTTTCTACAGGAGGCATTTATGTGAATGAGAACAGCATATGAGGTTACACTTAGAGAGGAAGAAAATTACAAGGGGATCTCAGTTCTCGTGCTTCAGGGCATAAGCTGATCACCAGATGGGGTCAGGAAGAATTTCCCCCTCCTTCGTTCCTAGGTGCAGTTTTCCACAATAGGTAAACTATGGAGACACAGGAGAGAAGCTGATTTTAGCCCCAGATTTTGCCCAATTTTGGGGGGAAACTGCCATGTCCTCAAACACTGTCAAACAGAAGAGGGTGGTTAGGTGAGAAGAAATACTGGGCTTCATTTGGTAGCTCATACCCAGGAAATGATAAGCACAAGAGTCCTGACTTCACGTGTCCAACTAAACCTGGCCAAAAAGACTGCTCTGGGAAGGTGGTGGGCATTAGATACCTTGTAATAAGTGATACCAACATATTTAATATATTATAGATGTTATACAAGTCTAGTTAAAGCTAGCCTTCACGAGCTGGGAGAGCTTTACCACAGCTCATGGGAACCTTTTTTTTTTTTTCTGTTTCAATTTGCTGTGTGCTTTGGGTTCAAATTAACCCACTTACTTCTCTTCCTCCCTGCAAATTAATAGACCAGTTGAACTTAAAAAAAAGAAGAAAAAGAAAGAAGAAGAAAGCCACAACACTTTGTTAAAACCACTAAGTTTCAGCTGGTATCATGTCAAAACCACTTGAAACACGAAACCAGAAGTCTTCCTAGGTTGACTCAAAGACTATGTCTACACCAGGAGTGCTTTACCAGTACAGGAATACCGATGTATTACATTGGCAAAGGGCTCCTGCCGTAGACACAACTGGATCAGTAAAACTGAGTTTTAAGGCTGCCTAGTAAATTGAGTTGAGAGTTTTGCTAACAAACTTTCATCTAAGTTGAGCTGTCCAACATTTCTAGCAAGTGAACTGGTCAATGGCATCACCTCTTTGCATCCCAGAGAGATGCAAATACATCAGTAGAAGTTTCGAGCATTGCGATGACCATAATTGGGTAGAGGTTGCTTTGAAACTCTTTTGAAAAATATAACCAGCTCTAAATTTAGAAAAACTAACAAAATTGGGGTGTTTTTTTTTTTTTTTTTTTTTTTTTGTAGGCTTTACAGTTTTGTTGCAAACTTCTGGCACAGCTGCAGTTAAACATCTGATTTCAGGCTTACAATCTGTGACAAGTGGTATTTCACGATTTCTCTCAGCACTCTGAAATCTGTCTCCCAGCATGCCATTATAAACATTGCATACAACCCTCATAAGCAATCTTTGGAGATTTCTCCGTAATGCAGTCTGTTTATTGTAACATTGGTCAGCACCGGTGCTGGAAGGGAACTGCCACGTGAGGAGATTGTGTTATTGTTCTGACAGGAAGACCACTGAATTCTGGGTGCTTCTCTCAACACCAGTGCAAAATACAAAGGCTGAATAAAAATATCTATTCTAATATGTGCAAGTAGGTACTGTTACAGAACCGGAGGTGAAGGCATAGCAACATGGCAGTTAGGATTTCACCAGATTCCTATTCAGTTTACCCAGATTGACTATTTTGAACCTATGACAAAGACATTTTACGAAAAGAAAGACATTTTCAGCTTCAAATGCTACAGAAAAAAACACTTCCCACCTAGCTTAGCCTGGAACACCTCTCTCCCTCTGTAATAGCCTCTACGTCTACAGCTGAGATACACACATCCATAAGCAATTACTACCATTGCCTGTGCAAGTCAAACCTATGGTTCTGTCTCTTACCTGTAATCTGACTCTGTCCTTGTGGATTAAAAGGACTTGGTGCAGAGTTCAGAGAGGGCCGTGGGCTCTGGGTCGGGACCCCTACTCTCATACTGGGATGAGGAATGCGCCCTAAATCACTGAGGCGTTCAGGGAACAAACTAGGTTTAGAGTCATCAAGCTTCTGTCTGTGCCCTGGAAACAGCAAATCATAAAATAAAAGCGTTAATAACAAGATTTAGTACTTTAACATACCAAAAAAAAAAAAAAAAGAAAGAAAAAAAAAATAGGTCTTTAAGGACCTATTATCAGATTAATGGACTATGTAAGTACCACCACTACTCCCAGTAACACAGTGACATTGGTGGGGAATTGGTGTTTTGGTGTTTTGAATGTGGTTGTGCTGGCAGAAGCCTTAACTAGCACTGATGTGCCCATATCGATATGTAATGCAGTAATTTGGATCAAAATAAGCCCTTATGGACACCACACAAGGTCTTTATGTATTTTTTTTTTTTTCTGCTTTAACTCCACCAGATAGTTAAGGGGGCAAAACTTTTTTACCAGAAGTAAACCTTATATGTACAAGTCATTGAGAGGGACAGTTATTCCATGACTGGACTGTATGTTGTGGATTTTTGCTAAGAAATTCCATCTCCATAACTTGAGAGCGTCTCCAAAAAGTAAACAGTCACTCTCATTTGAGAAGCTTCTGGCCAAGACCGAGTCCTACACTGCCAGTATATATTCAGCCTTCCTCCATGCTTGTACTTCTCCCCAAAAGCAGGCTCACTGCCCCTGTGCCACAGGGCTGCCTTGGGAAAAGCCTTCCATGGATGCTTGGTTGTTGAAATGCAGAGGGGACAAATGCCCAAAGCAACAGGATGCACCGAGTGGCACCTTGGTACTCTTCATATTGTCATTCAGATGTTTCAAGAGGGAAGTTTTACTTCTCTAATTGTATTATGTTACATTGTTATGTAATGTTGTATTTTTGCTCCTAAGTTTAATTTCTTTTTGAAGTAGTAGCAGATGCTCCTCAACCAATGGTGCCTTTGAATGAGGCAGAGAAGGCATTACTTCTATCATTCAACATATGGAAAAACAGGCATGCAGCGAGATTAAGGTCAGTACTAATTTTACTTAACTTCAGCCATTTATAAATCAGGCATCTAGTCTAAACTCTTCTAATGTAGACTTCCTCTACAGTTAATGGAAAAAAATAGCTACTTCCAGAGGGCAATTCATCTCATTTGTCTCTGACACCAGTCTTAAAATGGGATGATTCACCTTCTGAATTTGCTTTCTCTTCCTTCTCTGATCAGAGGGGGAGCCCACATGACTAGTTTAATTAGGCATTCTCACCATTAGTCAACATTGCATGGAATTAATCTCACCCAAAGTTAGTAACTAAGGTCACATGAAAAGCATCTGGCAGAGCTTAAATGGGAGCCCAGATCCCCTCACTGCAACCCAGACACGCAGTTGCCTCCATCTCTGTAAACAGTGCCAGGGTATCGGCACAGGCAATACATGGGTTGGATATTTTTAGGCTTTTAACATTAGGAAGGGTCTCTGGTGTGGTTTGGGCTGGGACCAGCTCAAACTCCTCCAGATGATGCCCGGAGGTTTGAGATACACTGCATTCTCCATCAGCAGTAAAAATACAGCCCTCTGCTTGGAGGCCATGAGAGTTCAGCTTTGCAGACACGGTCAGATTGCCCACATCAGTCTTAGGGCCAGAGAACCAATTCTGGCACTGTTTAGTTTGCTTTAACAGTATAAATGAGGTCTCTGAGTCTTGAAATGTATCAGTTCATCTCTCTTTATAAAAGATAATTTAATGGTGTCTGTCACCGTAGCACTGAAATACGTGGGTTCACATCATCCAGCTGGGACCGGTGTCCAAATGTGGCTTTCTCTGTAATGGACAGCTAACTCTAAACTAAATTGGGGTTCTACGTAGACTGTGGAAGATCTTGGATCACAGATTTGGAGATGTCCAGCAGCTGCCTGGACGTGTGCATGGGCACAATGCTCTGGTTACCCCTGCTTGAGCAGACGTTGGACCTGCCTGACCTAGAAGGCCATCAACCATTCTGAGATTCTGCCATTCTGTCAAAACCAAAGGATTGAGGTTGGAAGATGAGAAAAAATAGCTAGATGGAAATTAATTTTAGAGAAACTTCTCTAGCAATTAAAAAAAATTAATTACTTGACCCATTATTCTGTGCTTTGAAGTATGATTTTTCTCCCCCATGATGACTCAGTATAAAAACATGGGGTAGGCGTGAGCTTTCCCATTAAAGAGAAGGAGCTGCTGTATGGCAGAGCTCTGCAGAACAATCAGCTGGCATCGGTGACTCCTCTCTATGAGGTATCAATCACTTCAAACGGGGAACGATTTTTGGTGGGCTTCTAACAGCTCTGTAATGGCAGCCTCATTAATAGGATAACATCTCACCTGGTAGTCATTTGCACTATCTCTTCCATCTATGTAAATTAGAACTTGTATAAGCTGGGTGCCGCTAATCTAAAGAAATAACTTTCACACAGATACGGATGCACACAGTCAGTACTCTCTTGGGATCTCTCATTCTCTTATATTTTTTTCCACACTTTTTCTGTTTTTGCTTTTGCCTTTGTTAGTCACACTGACCAGTCTGGTTTTCTCAAGGAATCCATTGCCCCTCTCCTCTTCTATTTGTTCCTCGTTATGTTTCAGCATGACCGAGAAGGCTCAAAACAAGATAACCCAGTAGCCTATCTCTGAGCTCGCACGTCGGGGCTGACTTTACCTGGGAATGAATCTATTCCCAAAGTGAAATTTATTTTGATGGAAAAATTCTACTCCGTGTTTACATGGGGTGGTTTTGGCTCAAAGATCATACAATGCTTTTCTAACCAGTGCAAACTATTTTGATTGCCTTCTGCTCACTCAATGAACGCTCAATATGTAGAGCATCTCTCCTGTACCAACTTGTGCCCAACAACCCCCTGCTTTGTTTCTGTCATGCTCTGGTTGCCCATAGCTTTTCTGGAACAGAGACTGTATTCAACTCTGTATGATTGTAATGAACTATCAGAGAAAGACAAAATTCATCAGGACAGCAGGGTACTTCCATGTAGACAGGGAAAAAAGAAGGAAGAAATGAAGGATTTCCACCTATGGCTGATCTGAAATAATTAAGAAATATATAGATGTGGGTGTTTTCACCTAGAAAAAGTAGGGAAAGGAGGCAAAAGAGAGATCTCTGCACATCTGGAAGACCCCAGGCATCAATGCAAGTGCAGAAATCAGCAAGGGGCCAAAGGCAGACTTGCCTTTCCCTCCTGGTCATTTAAAATTTAGGGCTGTAACACAGAGTCCCCTCATGACAAAGAGATCCACAGGAGCCATGCTCCCCCAGCGCAGTCCCAGTGAGGCGAGACTGCATTGCAACTCTGCACATTACGGGTTTCTGCTCTTTAACAGAAGCTAAGACGTGCCCACATGGAAAGCAAGCAGGAGACTCAACAAAAAGCTTCATATTGAGGAGGTGTCTGCAAAGAAGTGGCAACTGAAATAGCTTTCTTGGCCTGATTCTTGTGCAAGAAAAAATATAAAACAATCCTATTAAGTACAGAGCAGCTGTGAGGAATGGGCTGAGAGTCTGAAAAGGCCTTCTGAGTAGCACATCAACAGCAGCAGTGAAATATGTGATACATGTTTAAAACTCATTCCACAGGCTGCTTTTCATCTCCCATTGATATATGTGTCTGTTGACAGAGAAATTCCTGATCCCAGGGGAGCGTGCTAAGAAAAGCTGTATTCCTTGGTCACAGTCATGAGGCATCATTTTATTTCAGGAAAAAAGATTAGGGTAGTAAGTGTGGATAGCTCAGTGAGAATCTGCGATGTGCCATGGCAGCAATTACATTAAAAAGCAATATGAGGCTACGGAAAGGGCAGGAGAAAATCATGCTGTGGCTTTCCCAATGCCAGCACTCAGCACCTGGGACGGTCCTGCCAGCAGTGCTACACTGAGGCCTAGTAGCTCTGTTACAAGGAAGATTTCATGGAATGTGTTGGCCTTACCAAGGGACAAGCTGGAGGCAGCCTCACCTCACCAGGCCATGCAGCCCTGGCGTGCTGACAGAACCTAGGAGCTGCCATTCGGTCACCACATCCCAGCTGTGATGGGAGATGTAAGGAGCCTTCATCTCCAGCTTAATCAATTCAGTTTAAACGCAAGGAAGGAACGTCTCCCTGATCAAAGACACACGACCTCGAGGCGGATGGGTGCGGGAGCTGGAAGGGGATGGGAGCGCATCCCTCATCACTCAGCCCCCGCCGCATGGCTGCAGAAGTCAAGATGTAAGTGGGGCTGTGGAAGAGGCTGACTTGCAGGATAGAAACGTGGCGTTGACGCTTGAAGATTTTTACCTCCTCGGGGAGGAGGGCTGTGCCTTTTTATCTTTCAGTCGTGGGTGTGGAACTGAAAACTAATTAGATTGTGCTACACGTGGCCCAGCCAGATGCTGACACTCAGGGACTCCCTTTCTTTGTACCATGTACACCGCCCACCTTTTTGTTTTTTTTGTTGTGTTCTTTTTTTTTTTTTTTCCTGCTGGTATCAAGGAGATCTGGTTACCAGATTGTCAGCAGATGTTTTTATCGCTCTCAAGTGGGTTAGCTTTTTTCAGTCATCACCCATTTCTTTCTGCCTTTTTCGCTTCTGTCATTGCATCAACAAGAGGCTTCACGGGAGTCAGATGTCTCCATGAAAAAGCCAAGGGAATGTAGAAAGGTTGTGAAAGCAAGAAGCTGGGCTGTCCCTGCTGAGCTATGAGTGCTGGGATAATTCCAGCAGAGCACAGGGCGACGGTCAGATGTGAAATACCAACAAGGTGGTGTTTGCTCCGTGTTGTGTGTGCTCAGCAGCAGGAGGAGCCAGGGGAAGCTTCACAGAATCATAGAATGCCTTGGGTTGGAAGGGACCTCAAGCATTATCAAGCTCCAACCCCTCTGATGCATGCACAGCCACCAACCTCCACATTTCAGAGCAGCAGAGGCTGCCAGGGCCCCATCCAACCTGGCCTCGAACACCTCAGGGATGGACGGGGCATCCACAGCCTCTCTGGGCAGCTGTTCCAGCACCTCACCACTCTCACAGCAAACAACTTGCCCCTGACATCCAACCTCAGTCTTCCCT